TTCGGAATGTTCTGCTTGCCCACAAACGTGTGGAGGGCTCCTAATATTTTTACTTTTACACCCAAATATTAGTTCCAATCAGATTTAAATGAGAAAAGCCTAGAGTAGTTCTGTTGAACTTTCAAAGCTAGAGGGCAAAAGAGCTATATATCACGTATCACAATACATATTAAATAAATATATTTTTTAAAGAAAAACAATATTTTTTTAATAATTTTATAATATTGAAGGCTGAATGAAATTTTGTTTAATATCAATCAGAGACCTGCAGACCCGGCCAGGCACGGGCAGGGCCGGGCCTTATTTAAAATTTTTTAAATATACCCGGGCCGGGCCTAAAAAAATTTTTTTTAAACATATCCGGGCCGGGCCTAAAAAATTTTTTTTTAATATATCCGGGCCGGGCCTAAGATTGTTAAACCCGGGCCGGGCCGGGCCTTAATATTTTTTATAAAAATTTTAACATTATGAGTTAATAGTTATAAGATTATATTATATTATAGTTATGATTAATATAATATTGGGTGATGGTTACCACTACCTAACAACCCACAGATCGATCTAATTATTAATTTTCTGCAAATTTATTCAAAGTATTAATATATATTTTTTATAATTCATATCTAAATTTTTACAACATATTTTACCAAAACAATCAAATAAAGGAATATCTTAAATAAGCACCAATATTCAAGTATTATTAATATATTTTTTTATAATTCATATCTAAATTTTTAGAATATATTTTACCAAAACAATCAAATAAAGGAATATCACTTCTTAAAGTTTGTAATACCTTTCAAAGCGAAAAGGAGAAATAAAATTGATTTTACTTAATATAAAGCATTTTTTAATTGAAAAATTTGTTTTACACAAGTATCATTTTATTTCTCTTTTTCTCTGTCCCAAATTCAAGCAATTATGTAGTCAGGGACAGATCGCAAAATGACGGAAAACTATATAAAAGATTATATTAAATTACAAGAGGCTCAGGAAGTAAATGAAATACCATCGGCCAGTCAAATTACGACTGTTGTTAAACAAACTGAATCGTTTTATGACAAATGGGGCGATGGTAATTCTGGTAATATGTCAATACCCGATGATGAATATTATAATTACATAAATAATAGATAAAACATTTAAGGTGGATAATTTGTTAGAGTGGTGGGCGGCTCATCAAAGCGAATTTCCAATTTTAGCAAAATTGGCAATTCCTGCTTTAAGTGCAAGCTGTGAGCGGAATTTTTCCACTACTGGGAGAATTCTTGAAGAAAGAAGAAGTAATCTCCTGAAAAGGTAGATATGCTACTCTTTCTTCATGATAATTTGTGAATTTTTAATATCTTTCTTGAGTATAGGGTTTCGTCAATCATGCTGGTTTTTTACTTTGCAAACTGTCAAATATTTATTGCATTTATTATATTTACCTTGAGTCATGAAAGTTTTTAATCCAACATTTTTCACTATTTTTTTTTACAATATTATATAATACAATTTTCTTCTTTTGTTAAAAAATTATATTATAAAATAAATTATATTAATATTGTGCAATTAGATTATATTTTCAAAATACTATTTATTATACATGCATTTTTTTAAATAGCGATTTATTTTTATTTTATAAATTAAATAGTAAATTAAATACAATATATTATATTCTCAAAATATTTTCCATTTTTATAAATTAAATATTAGTTTTATTTTTTTTAAATGTAATATAAAATATAGTATATGACAAATATTATTACCATTTTTTTGAATATTAGTTTTATTTATATAAATGCAATATAAAATATAGTATATGCTCAAAATATCCATTTTTATAAATAACAGTTTTATAATTTTTATAAATTCAATATAATATTCTCAAAATATTAGCTTTTTACAAGTATTTTTTAAATAATAAGCGATAATACTCGCTGAAAAATATGGTAAAATACCTCATAGGTAAATTTTGTATATACCAGGTCGAATATAATTTAAAAAAATTCCGAGCCGGGCCTGAAATTTTTAAATCCGGGCCAGGCCGTAAAAATTTTTTTTTAAAAATATCCGGGCTGGGCCTAAAAAATTTAAAACCGGACCGGGCCGGGCCGTGCAAATGGTACCTCTGCAGGTCTCTGATATCAATAAAAGACGCCATTTATTTAATTATTAATTTTAATAAAATAATAATCTTATTTTTGGAAAAAAAAGGAAGGGGGAATGGAAATAAATGTATTTTTTAATCTGGAAAAATAATTTTAAATAAAAAAAAACTGAACAAAAAAAACTTAACGGACTAAGACCTTTCGTAAACGTGCCTCACCCAATTAAAATATTATATCCAGCTTGCAAAAGGCGGAGTTAGAAATTTTTCCTATCGATTTCGATAGAAGCGCTGTATTTGCTTTCTGAATTATTACTAAAAAATAATTTTTATTACTATATTATATATCAATCAGAGACCTGCAGGCCCGGCCCTAAGCCCGGATACATAGGCCGGACCGTATTTTAATTTTTTTAAATATACCCGGGCCGGGCCTGAATTTTATTTTTAAAATACCTGGGCGGGGCCATATTTTTTAAACTTAATATTTTAAATCACCCTTATTACCAAGAAATAATAAAAATAAATATAATATATTTAAAAATCCAGGCCTGAAATTCTTTTTTTTATAGATGTGGTGATAGATGGCACAAGAGTTCGGACATCTATCAGTTAAATGTTGAGGTTCAGATAGTAATAATAATAATAATAGCATTATTCTCAAAATAATACACATAAATCATTCCGATTTAAAAATATTTAAATTCCCGAACCAAAGTGGCTAAATTTTTTTAATATTTTTATCGTGGAGTAAATAATAATAGCAGGCCGATTCAAAATAAAATTTAGCCGACTCATCGAGTCAACTCATGCGAATGAGTTTTGCCACTCCAACTTTAGTTCAGAGTCAAAACTCGACTATTTAACAACACTAACTAGAACCATAAATATTCAATATTTTGCCCTAGATTTGCTCAATTTTTTAATTTTTAAGCCCAAGATTGGCCTGAATTTTTATTCATAAGCCTGAGCTCGATCCAATTTATTATTTTAAATTTAGGCCCAATTTGCGACTTATTTCTATCCATTTGCAGGGCTCTATTGAAAATATATGTTAAAAGTAATTTTTAGCCATTATTTTCCAATCAATAGCCAATTTTTTAGCCATTATTTTTCAATCATTAGCCCTATAAATCCAAAAATTTCGAATTCAGGTATTCCCAAATCAGTGGTATCGTTAGGGTCCCCCAGAATTCTTGCTAATCTCTACTCCAATGTTGGTTAACTTCCTTCCAATTTTTTGAATTATATGCATTATTGCTATTTTTATTAAGTTTTTTAACTATTTACCAGAATTCTCGAGTGAGGATTTGAAATAATAATTTAAATTATCTATAAAGATGATTTTTAAAAATTTTTTATAATCTTATTATAGCAGAAAGATATTTTACCATGCTTTACCTTTTATATTTTTTTAAATTTATATAAATTAGATATAATATATGTCCCACAGGGATTAAAATTTTTAACTGATTGGCAACAATATCGAGATCCCCAATTAATTTTTCTGTTATATGTAAATTATGAATCGTTCAAAACTTCACGGTCATCTAAAATTTATTAAATAGTATTTTACTTATCCTGGAATCCATTTCCGGATTTGGATTTTCTTAAATTTAACCGTGATGGTAAATGATCTAAAATTGGAAGATTTTGAATTCTCACGTGAGGAATTCAGATAAGTCGTTGTTTCAGAAAAAAAAAATTTTTAATTATTGTTTTTTTTGTAACTTAGGAAAAAATTTCCTTTTCTAAACGAACTTTCCCAGTTTAAAAGTATCGTTATGCCACTATAAAAAATAGGTAAAATAGGCGAGAATGCTTGAGAATTAAAGAATCGATTATTATAAAATATCTTTTGAAATAATTGATTTGGGGTAATTTAATATCATTGGTATTTGCATTTTTTTAAAAAATATTACTTTAAAGCAGGGATTTGAAATAGAACTTTGAGTACATTTATAAAACGTGCATTTCCAAACCAATTCCGGGGCGTTTCGAATTATAATTTAAAAATCTTAATGAATTTATTATAAAATTAATAATAATTAATGTATTTATCATGACTCGACTTATAATATCTCTTTGTTTTTTTTAATTATAACTTGTTTCACATAACAATCTGCTTGTTTAGTATTATAGTAAAAACTTTGTATCAAATTCAAAATCTAAAAAATAATTCTGTTCAAATTTATAATAATACCGTATAATCACTCAAATATAAATGATAAACTTGTAAAAATATATTAGAACCCCGCATTGGACCTAATTCAGGCCCGTCTAGATCCTAAAATATTTCACTATCCTACAGATCTAATCCAAATATATATTTTTTAAAGATCTAAATACGATCCAATCCGAAATTTAATTTAGAAATGGGTATAGCCCCATCTATTCCAAATTTTGTTCTATTGGACAGTTGATAATACGATATTTCAATAAAAGCGGAAAAATATTAATGGCTTTAGGAAAATAAAAAATAATTTGTGCTTTTCTTGAAATGAATATTTATAAAAGCTCCAAGGAAACAAAAATAAGTTTAAATTTTGTCAAGATCCAAGTTTGAGTCAATGTTGTTAGTTTAGGTTTTAACACATAAAAAAATTTACACCCCCTCCCTCCCCCTTTTAATAGATTCGCCTCCTTCTCCCGACAATTTTGGCTTATGCTACTCATAGTAGAATATATTATATACTAATAATTAAATTAATTAAGATAATTTTATTAGCTGCTGCATAGATAAACAGCTTTATTATTTTATTGTCCATACATTTTATTTAACATATAGTATATTTGTAATATATTATATTAAACTAATTAATCATTGTTTGTATGACCCATTATCCCTAATTTGTTTAAATTATTTAAAATAATATTTGTAAAAGTATTTTAGAAAAAACCCTCCTTTTGAAATTTTATTTATTTATAATAGATAATATCGGGATATATCATGAAGAACATCCATTGATTTTTGGGATATGTCGCATTAAAATGTTGACTTTGTTTTTATCCAAATTAGATGTAGCATTTTTAAAGTCTATAGTAACGTTACTTCCACAAATTATTAAAACTCTTTTATTATCTCTCATCTATATAAAAAAAAAATAGAATATTTAGTATAGTATATACAATAAGTTATATGAATAATTAAAGTTATAATTTTAAAAAAATTTAAATTCCCTTAAAATTATTTATAAAAAGAGATTTTTTATCTCTAATACGTTGGATTACCAAAAATAAAATAGAAATAATTTGTATGATTAAAAAATTAGTTATGATAATGATTGATGTTATTATTTTGACTTGTTTAATACACTTTTCCCATAAATTTTAAAATGGAGTGTCACCATCTGATTTATTGTTCAATGTCTCTTAGGTATTATATGTATTAAAGAGATCACATGTTTGAAAAAAGACACTGTGACCAAAAGGCTTATTGTTACATGTTTTTGATCAGGCCATATGATAATATCTTATAAAATTGTTTGAAATTTATAGGGCAGATATTTTACACGTGCCTATAATACATTCCCGGTAAAGAGGACATTTTACATTAAAAAAGGAGTTAAATAAATGATTATGGAATGTAGCAAAATAATTTGTTGAGCGAGTTTTTTTGACGACCTACAGGAGTATAAGTTAAGTACCTATCCTATAAATCAGATAACTTTGTCAAAATTTTTTGCTCTTTTTAATTTATATACTAAAATTACACTAATATTGCATGGATTGACTTAGATATTAAGGCTATAAGTTTTTCCTGATGAGGTATATTGCCGGTAATATATACATGTAATGACCAAAATTGAAAATCTGTCATTATAAAACACTTTTCAAAAGATTATTAAAAAAAGACTGAGTTTCAATTCTGACAAAATCTTCAAGAAAGAAACAAGGAGAGAAGAACAATAGTTACAATATGGTCGTATGAATAAAAGTTTGGGGTATAGGCAATTTTTAATAAAACAAAAATACTAAAATGAGTTATGCAATAAAATCTTTAAAATAAAGCTAATGATATATTTGGTTAAATATTTTTTAATAGATAGCCAATTCGCGGTCAAGGACATATAGGGTCCAGGAGGCCATTATACTCCTCTAAGCTACTGATGTTAAATACACTTCTAGAGTACCTTTCAATCTTTATACAGCATGATTATAAAATTTTATACCAGAGTTTTGTACCCGGGTTCTGGTTCCAAAATTAAATTGTTTTATTGAGAGAATTTGGTAAAAATTTTTATAATTATTGATTTTCCATTATGGGTCCGAATTCGCCCCAGTTTTATATTATACCGGGTTTGTATGGTTGTCAAAAAAATTGGTCCCTGTTTGTTCATGTTCAAAAATTTATAACAAAAAATTTTAAAATTTCTGAATCCTAAAATGGAACTCTGCTTGAGACCTATCGATATCGACTCATATCAATAAGTCAATTTTTTACACTACACATTATGGGGTTATAGTATATTTTTTTCACAAGAAATAAAAAAATTATTTTAGCAATAAATATGAGGCAAATAGAATAATTCAATAATAATGTAATAGCCAAAAAAAGATGTCAGTAATAACTAATTAATAGCTATGAAGGAAGAGTTTCTTCTTAACTCAGCTTATTTCTAGAGATAGGGGTGGCTCTTAAAATAGAATATTGACAAAGTGCTTAATTTTTCAAATATCTCGGGAAATAATTAAGCTAGTGAACAATTATTTAAATTTTATATTAGCTTGGTAATAAATAAATAAGCGTTAAAGTTTAAAATATAAAAATTAGAAGTAAACGATATGGTGTAAGAACTATTAATTTATTCCATTGAAGGCATCCGAATCATGTTGGTAACAAGAAAATAAATATAATAAATTTTTAATTCACTGATTTTAATAAGTCGTTAGATTCACTAGATAACAGGGTAATCAAATTGCTTTTCTTAGGCATATTTTTAATAATTATATCTTTGAGAAATCAAATTTTCCTTCATAATTTCATTCACGCTTATAATGTAAAATTATGCACCACCGTGTTAAATTGAGACTTGAATGCTCTTATGTTTTCGTCATTTAGCAAAAGCGTAAATGTTCCGTAACATAAAGATCTTTAAAAAATTATACCAAAAAAATTTTTCCTAATAGTGTTCCCTCCTTTGGGAAAATCCTGGATACGTCTATGTTCTCGTTCAGCCAAATAATTTGGTATTTAGGTCAAATAAAAATAGTTTTTTTATAATTCATAACTTCAAATTATACATGTAAAAGGAAATTTTATCTCAAATAAAATATAATTTTATATAAAATTTAGGTTGAGTTTTATCCTACTTATTGTTTTAATTGAATATTTCAAATAACATCTGATAACCATAATTTATTAATAATTTAAGTAAAGTATCTTGGACATGATTAATTGAACTAAAACGTAGTAAATATAATAAATTTTTTCATTGTGAAAATTTTAAACATAATAATGTGTTTTTATCGAATTGGTTATTAAGGGAATAGATAAGATTTAAGTTGTAAGGAGATTTGGGAAAGGGTTTTAAATAATTTTACTAATAGAAATAATTAATGTCTGATTTTTAGTCACCAATATGTAAGTAAATTCAACCTATCAGACATGCTTGGATCTATATTTTAGTCTTGAATCAGATTTCTTTTTAGAAAATAATTATTTTTAAGCCCGGCTCGGGAATTTTTTTAAAATTTTTGGCCCGATATAATTTAAATTTGAAATATTTTCCTACCCAACTTTTTGAAATAATCTTGGCTATATTTTTCAAATTATATAAAAGAATTGAAGATATGAGCAATATAAATAAATATTAAATTCTCATTAATATGATTTTCCAACTGATTAATGGATATAAGTTAAAATAATTTAGGCCCGAACCATTTTAGGTCAAACTATTTTTGGCCGAACTGGGCCAGGTTTTAAGCCAAGTGTAGAGGTCTCTGATATATAGATAATAAAATTCGATATTTGGGAAAATTGGTAGGGGAGACCGGGGATAGTGTGTTCCCGGGGTAGGTATTTCCTTTTCGAATAATTTAAAAATTAATAAAGTTTAAGTTTTGAAATTTAAGCCAAATATGTATTTTAATAAGGTGCTTAATCCAATTTTTCGGACAAAATTGCTCATGAAAAATTTTAAATGCAAATTTAAATTTTAACATACCAAAAGAAACTTTTTAAAATTTTAAATTTTCACTAATAACTTTTTTATAAACGTTGTTTAGACTTAATATTAATTCTATATGATAAAGAAATATATATTTTATCATATATGATAATATTGACACAATTTATTTTAATTTAATATCTTAAAATTAAATTTTAATTAATTGTGAAGACCTGGGGCAAGTTTTGGCGGGGTACGTATTAGCCATTTTTAAGCAGGGATTATTTTGAATTAAAAAAAATCCAACTAAATTTATAAAAACATTAAAAGTCACTAGTTTGTCTAGACCACTAATGACATATGAAGATGATTGACTTATTTTTTGTAATTATATGACAGATTTAAGTGACAACAAGTACTTCCGGGTGTTATATGTGATATAGATGAACCCTAATAAATTTAACATATTTGACAATTTATTTTTATTTATATACTTAGAATCAACACTTTTATATAAAAAAAATTTTAAATCTAAAAATAAAAAAGCGCTATGACACGCACGTAACGTGAAAGGATAATAGATACCCCGGGTGTTTTTCATAAAGCTTAAATTTTCATTTATTTAAATTTTACATTAATTAAAAACTAAATGATTTTTTTCTTAAATATTAATTTCTACCGTAGAGATATATGTAAAGAATAAAATTACATTCAAACATTTTAGAAAAATTGCTTTGTCTATTTTTTCTTGCACTTCAATTTTTTATGGACAAACTGTCCCCGGTCTCCCCTATTTAATATTTTTTTATATCACTTCATGTCCTGGGGATATGGCTAATGTTACCAAAAAATTTTCCTGTTGCTCCATTATTCTACCATAGGCCATTTCCCTATCTATAAAAATATAGTATTATATATAGCTTTTTATAAAATATATATAACCTTTATCTTTATTTCTCGTTTCCCATTCAAATACAATGAAATTACTGTCATTATAATTTTTGATTATCGTTTTTTTATCTTGTTTCAAACTAAATATTTTAGAATATAACAAAAATCTTTAAAGTTGCTATTCTAATATTTATTGTTAAGACTCATTCTACTACTTAATTACTTAATAATCCCTGTAGGTAGACTAGTCGTTAGCTAGGTGCTATATGTGAGGGGCTTTTATAAAAAATTAGTACCAATTTTAAAAATGTATTAACACCTCATTCATTTTTTTAAAATTTAGCACTATTTTTTTTTTAAAAAAGTAATTCCTTCATTTAGAAGAATCTATGATTAATCTAATTAAATTTTTTTTTTAAATACGTTAATTTTATAAAATATATTTAAAATTTAAGACTTCATCGCGGCGTGATAAATCATTTTGGTAATAATTATAATCTCCTTTCTATTTTTGTCAGCAGTCAATTGGTATAGTAAAATATAATAAAAACAGTTAACATAAATTAAAAGATATTATCTTATTTTAAAAAGGTTGGAGAGGGCATAACTTTTTGCTAAATCGTCTATGATTTCCATAGCCTTTATATCTAAGGAAGTATAAATCAATAGATACCATATACTATTGATTAATGAGGTGTATCACAATTTATATAAATATTAGCATTATTTTGTAAAAGTGTTGATTCTGCCCAACATGCCACTACCTTTAGTTTAGTCAAACCACCTTACCTTGACTTCATGGTTAGCTCGGATTTGCGGCGAAGTATACAAAATATCATATATATATATATAATCATTTTACATTCATTTTTGTATCCTTCGGCGATTTAGTGATGACTGTGAATGTAAAGTTACGAGCTTTCTAAATCATCAAAAGATTTCCCGCCTTATAATGAACATAAATACCATCTTTAATTTTTAAGCCCACAAGTCACCTTTTAATCTGTTCAGCATGTTTCCAGCAATTTTTTTAAATTTCTAAACAGACGATTAAATTTTGTCGAAATAATTTTTTGCATAATATAAATTTGCCACCATTAAATTGTTAATAAAAATCTTTATTAACGATTAAATACTGTAAATTTATTTTGGCGATGCTCATGCTATTTTTAGAAAATTTTTTTTTAATTAATAAAACTTTCTTTAGAAGTAAAAATAATAATAATTAAAACGTGCCTATGAAACCGCTTTAAAAAAACGAATTGTTTGTAAGTGGCCTAATTAATATTTATAGAATAATTTTAACATTTTATTTTTTAAATTATAACTATACAATCAAATTTAGCCAAAATATTTAGTATAATATATAATTTTGATAATTTTATAAACATTTTACATTTTTTTATAATATCTTATTAAATTTGAAATAAGTAATTCATAAAATAACGAAAAATTTAAAATTTTATTTTATAATGATGTATTAGTGGTTCATATTATCCTGATTTAGCTAGCCCGCTTCAGCACTAACTTTACTAATTACGATTAAAATATCTGAATACTATAAATGTTTATAAAACTTTTTCAAATGATAAAAGTAAGTACACACTAGAGATCTGCAAAAATGCAGGTAACTCTAACAAGTTATATTTTAAGAGTATAACTTGTAATTATTTATTTTTCACTATTAACTTAAACAACACTACACATTATAAATGACAAATTATTATTTTATTTTATGTACTTGATAGAACATTTCTTGATATAAAATTTTAAAATGATATATTTTTATTAATTAATATATATAAGTTTATTTTATCATTTTAATACATTATATTTAAAGTATCTAATGACTTTAATTTAGGGGCGGACTGGCTAGTAAGCTTAGTGGGAAAATCTCCCATGGGCCTCGAGATTTTACTAATTTAGGGGCCTCTCCTTAGCAAATTACAAATTTGGGGGCCTCCTTAGTAAAGAAAAAAAAATTTTTCTAAATTAAATTGCCAAAAATCTAAATATGTTTTAATACAAATTATTTTTAAAATATTAGAAATTGAAATAATTATAAATTATTGATTTAATTATCTGGTGAAATAAGCACTATAAAAAATCATTCATTCATTCATTTTATTTAAAGTTTATGTTTATGTATAGAAAACACATAATTATTATAGAAATGGACCGAAATGAAAATAATAAATAACACAAGCTAAACCAAACCTCATAAAAATAATTATATTATTTTTAAATATAAAATATATATGTTTATGTATGATTTATATAAGATAAGATGGATTTTTAATATAAAAAAAATGAAGTTCCTTTCATATTCATTTTATCTAATTATCTTAAAAATGAAATTAACTATTCTAACCCAGAACTAAATATAAGAATTATGAAAATTTATAATACCCCCCCCCCTTCCTCCCCCAACTAAAATAAGCAATGTTTGTTTCACAAACAAAATCCAATGTAAATATTTAAGGATTTTTCTGGGCTAGAGTGGAATCTTTACTTAATATATATTAATTATTAATGATCTTATCATTCAAACATAAGATCAACATTTTATCTTAAATCATTAAATATAAAGAAAAAATATATAGATAACCTTGATAGCTATTTTATTAAATATAAATTCTAATTTTAAATTAAAATCTATACTTTTATATTATCCTGCATAATAATTTATATTAAAAAAAAGGAAATACAAAAGTGGAGCAGATAAACTTCATGATAAATCTTATAAAGAACTTAAGATAGAAAATCCAAAACAAAAAAAGTTATCTTTTTCATTATAACAACTACAAACTTAAAAAATCACCTTCATTTCTAGAAACTTCTTTAGACTCTCCTTTATGCTCCAAAAAAAGTAATAATACAACGTTGCCTGGACATTGAAATTCATATCATAAAAAGTCCACATAAATCACATATTAAAAAAAACATCTATCTTTATGTTTATTACAAGTATTTTCACCCATTATAAATTTTGGTTCATGTTCTAATATAATATCTGATTCTTCTCAAGCTCAAACCACAAATTTAAATTAATTAGCATATTTAACAACAAGAGATATATCCTCTACATCAATTACATCAACAATATGCTCAGCAGATTCTTTACATTTACATGATAATACTTTTAGCAATATAAAAAGAAAAATTATTTTCATTTTGCTTCATTCCTATACTTCAATTTTTAAATACCAAACCTTTTCTGGCCGACGCGAGATTTAGTCAAATGCTATCGATTTTGAGCCATGAGCAACTATATATTATTATTGCATCAAGCTCACTATCAGCAGACCATTGCATTATCAACAGTTTAAATATACTTTTTTTAAAAAATACATTACATTTTTATATTTCGTTTATTATAAAAATATTCCAGAGCTTTTATTTAATTTTTATCAATATTTTATATTTTTATTCTATAAATATTTTGTTAACTGATTTTTTTTCTCAGCCTTCCATATAAATAAAAAATAAAAATATATATAGAACAATTCAGATTTAGTAAATATATTACAAGAAATTCTATGAATTATGATATAAAATTAATTCTAATATATAAAAAATATAGGTTGATCATATTAAATCATTTATTTATTATGGGTTGGCTTGTTATCAGCCAGCCATTAATTGAATGAAATACTATATGTAATAATCACAAAAATTCATATTTTAACGAAGAATAATGCGGTCCACTCAAAGGAGGAGTAATTCTTTTAATGGATAATACATAAATATTAAAAAGAAAAATTATTTTAAATTTTAATAAAGTGTAATAGATTTCAAATAAAATTTTATAATTCTCGGCCGCAGGCAAAGCGGGCCCGCCCGCAAGGGGGTTTGTGGGCGAAGCCCCCCAACTATGGGGCTTCTCTTAATCTCCCACGGAGTCGGTCTTTAGTCTACCAGTCCGCCCCTGCTTTAATTGTCAAGTCTATCACAGAAATAAATTAGTCAACGGTCCAAGTTAGGCCTTAGTCCCAAATTAGAAAAATAAAATTTGTCCACTGAGCTTCTAGAAATCGTGCTTATTCAAAAAAATACATAATATAAAAAAATATATATTGATGAATTAGTTAATTGTTTAGGAAAAATATATATATCTAGTTTTGAACTAATTTATATTTTTAAATAGATTAAAGTATGTTATCTCAAATTCTATTAAAGTAGATCATAGTACAAGATAGTTGATAAAACTAATTTGCAAAATAGAAAAATTTGTTATATACTATCAATAAAAACATGAGTAAAATAGACAGTTAGTATTAGTTAATAGGGTGAGTAAATTGGCTAAGCCTAATTAGATGCAGCCATTTTTTTCACCTAACACTTAGCTGGGCCATTTGGATGCTATAAGTCGACTACACAACATTAGATACAGTTATACTATAATAACGTTTCCTATGAGGAACCAACCAGATATTTAAAATCATGGATCCAAACCGAAACGAATATCGGTTCGGTTCGGATAAAAATAACGTTTCAATGTTCAGGTTCGGTTCGTAAAAAATTAAAATATCGGTTCGGTTAGAAACTCTAAGAACCGGTTTGAATGTATCCAAACCTACATTCGAATTATGTATAGGAAATTTTTTTTTTTTATTATGATTAATTTTAAAAACACATGTAAAAAATCTTCATTTTTATTAATTGCACATTATAAAATAATATTTAATTTATAAATATAAAAATAAGAATATATATCAATGATTAATTTTAATATGAACAATATTTTACTTTTACTTAAAATTTTTTTGTTAAGCCGCACAATTAATATATTTTCAAATTGGTCTCACTCAAATTACACTAAGAGGAGATAGTGTAAATTTAATTGTGAAAAGCATCTTTCCACACTGAATGTGTCATTTATATAATATTTTGGATTTAATTTTTCTCTAAGCATTATAATTTACAAGCTTAAAATATTTTAAAAAAATGTTGTAAAATGACAATATACTAAAGTTTATAAAAATTATAACCGACATCAAATGTTATTGATGATAGTCTTTAAAATAATTTGAATGTAATTGAAATTTTTTCAATATACTAATAATAATTTACATATTGTTTTATAACCATAAAATCATGAGGCTTGAACCGGTTCAGAGACATTATAGAGGTTTGGTTCAGGTTCGGCTAGAATTTTTTTAGCGGTTTAGGTTCGGTTCAAGTTCGATAAAAAATACCGGGTTTTAGCGGTTAAACGGTTCGGTTCAGGTTCGGATCCCTGTTTAAAACCATATAGAAAACCCGGAATATTATAAACATTATATAATGATATAATTATTAACTTACATACACTCCATTATTTAAAATTTGGCAATCTTGAAACAAAAAAAAGTAATGAGGTATATAGAAATAAATTTATGATCTAACAAAGGTAATAGTTATAGAGCAGAGTTGTTAACTTAGTGTCTAGGTATAAAAATGTGTTATCTGTATCTAGATACTATTTTAAAAATATCTTATTTATAGATACATTTTGATATAATTTTATTCACGTTTTTTATATTAAACCGAGTTTATTACATTAAAAAAACTAATCAGACAAATTTTATTTTAAGCAATACATGACAACATGGTAAATTATATATTATAATTTATTTTATTTTTTGTCATAATTATTAGATAAATATTTAGGCATGACCTCATTTGATCGAATATTGGTCCATTTTCGGTCAAAATTCACGATATCATTATTTATAAAAATTTATTAATATGCAATAATTATATGATTTATGCATTTATTAATATATTATATAATTCTAAGTAATTATTTAACATTATTTAAGATATAATCGTAATTTACAGTTATTAACTAAGCCAATCAGAAAAGTAGACGAATTTACGATCAAATGACTTTACGAAAAGTTAGGTAAATCAATATTTCTGAACAATCTGAGAAAAGATTTCCAATAATTTAATATTCGATTTTTTGAAAACCTCTTAAATGATATAAGTAATGCTAACACATCAAATTTTGAATAATTTTTTTAAAAACGAGTGTCGATTCTAATACATTTAATGATTATACCGATATAAAATTGGTATTTATTAAATATAACAACTACTCGCAGTTAATTGTTCCGGAAAAGAGTTTTATATGGCTAAAAATTTAGAGATAAAAGGGAGTGTATAAAAATTTTGGGAATGATTTATTATTACAATCCAACAATTATTTCTAGTCAATTATATATTTTGTACATACGAAATTTGAATTTTAACAACAGAATCCTTAATTAAGCGCACATCTTACATATGTATAAAAAAAATTCTATCTGCATCTATATACATTCGTAAAAATGCATCGGTATCTAGATGCGTTTTAGACGATGTATCTGTACTGAGATATTCATTTGAAAAGTATCTTAGAGCAAGAATTTATTATCGTGAATAGACGGTTTATAAACTAATAATATTTTTATCTCTGCCCTTAATTAATATGAAATTTTAAGCTTTTATAAATCTTCGTAATATAATACTTCTAAAAAAAATTAAGTTTTAAAATCTCATATATTGTTCGGAGTAATGATGTACTCGTCAAACTTAAAACAATCTTTTCTATTTATATAAATGTTAAAAATAAAAAAGCATTGTATCTCAAATAGGGATAGGTTCTAAATCGCTAAAAATTGGGAACCTGGCTTATATCTCCTAGAAAATTTTTAAAGTAAATTTGAAATTAATATTAATAGATACTAGGGGATTAAATACTTGTATTTAAACATTTTAGCCTTTTTTTAAATTTTCAATTTAAATACAAGTATTTAATCCCCTAGTATCTATTAATATTAATTTCAAATTTACTTTAAAAATTTTCTAGGAGATATAAGCCAGGTTCCCAATTTTTAGCGATTTAGAACGGGAACCCTCAAATATTATATAATTAATCATTTGCTTCAAACTAGAATTATAAATAAAAAATACAAATGGAAGAACTTATTTATTTTTCTTACTATTGTGCTGGCCTTGAGTTAGGGACATCAATAAGCAGGAGAACAATATAATCCAAAAAGCATTCATGTTGAAATTAATTTTGTCAAAAATTTTTTCTATAATAAAATTAAGTACTATTTTATGTAAAAATATTAAATAATTTGGTGTTGGCAAACTCAACATACACGTGTATGATTTTGATTTGAACATTATAAGATAACAATAACAAATATGTATTTTTTTAAATATTATTTCAAAATAAATTTTTGCTGTAATAAGCATTTTACATTTAAATTTATATAAGTTGAAAATAAGAAAAATTAAGAAATGGATTTTTTTTCTAATATAATAACTAGCTTTACCCTATAAAATGTACCTAAAGGCATTTATGTTGATGATACAATAATATTAATTATCCTTATAGTTTAGTAATTTCTTCGAAATTATATCATTTTCGAGACTTGTTTTCATTCATTAAACATATTTTTGTTTTCATATATTATTGGCTTCCTTTTTATTGAAATTTTTTCTTAGAAACTGAAAGGGAAAAGAAACTGAATTTTTAGCGGTTATGAAATTGATCGGCGCTTTAAATGAAGGAGAAACTCGACACGTCAAAAAAAAATTTAGAAATGGAGGAAATAGACTTTATAGTGGCAAACTATAAATAAAAACGGGGGTTATAACCTGGGGGTTGTCCAAAATATTAGAATGTGATGAAAAGGAAAAAAAACATACCAAACTACATTAAAGGTTTTTAAACTATTTAGTTGTATTATTATTTATTACAAACAAATTGTTTTTTTTTAAATGAATAAAGAGGATATAATGATATATTTAAATCTATGTGGTAACTGGTAACAATACAAAATAATATAAAATTTGATAAATTATAAATGTAATTAGGAAAATATCTACAGAAAATATCATTTTTTTTACTAATAAAAAAAAATTGTATAAATAAAAAATAAATAATTCATGTGTTTTTAGTCGAAACTGTGTTAGTTGTTAAAGTAATTACATCCCCAGTCACTGGGGCAATCATATGAATTTTATCTTCGTAAATCGATGAGTTTTCTAGATTATGATAAAAAAAAATATTAAAATAATTTCATAATATTCATAAGCTTTTACAAAAAGTAGTCTTATCTGCGTGTATTAGTTTTTTTAGGTAATAAATTAGATCGAGCAAATTTCTATGCATTCTTATTAAAATAGTCAGAGTAGAATTTTCTACTCTGCCAAACGGGTTTGTAATAGAATTTTCATTCTGGTCAGCAAAACGATTTTGTTTTTTTAAATGCCTATATAAATATTTATCTACCAGAAAAGTTAAAAATTATTTCCTGAATTTAAAAAAAATAAAATAAAACAATACTTAAGTTTTTCATCAATTTTTTTTGGATTGGACTTATTTCAAAAAATAATGCGGACAAAAAATAACAAATTTTTTGAATTCAAGCGGTATATATTATTAAGTCTGATGAGGGGCTTTAATTTGTATTTTTCATTTTAAAAAAATCACTGACCTGTGTTAATGTCGGCATTTGTGGTAAAAATGATATCATTTTCAGTTAGAGGAGAAAATTCCGTAATTATTGGTTTAGTTAGGTCTGAACTTTCTTCATTGAATGGGATCGTTTGTTCCAAATTAAATTCAACCTTTTTAATTAAAAAAATTTATATTTGAGATATAAAAGGTTTGTGAACTTGGGTGTAGAATATAAATATTTTAACGAAAATCATATATTTTCTGAAAAAAATCTTAAAATTCTAATCGTAAAGAGTACTTCATATTATATTAGATTTAAAATATTTAAACAATTTCTACTTATTCCCGAATATTATATTGAACAGGATTCGAACATTATTCGAATAATATTTTTAAATTGTTAATATTTTATGTAAAATTGTAGTTTTAAGTGATTTTTTTAAATTTCGGCAATATTATTTATTTTTATATTTCATGATTGAACATGTAAAGTATTAAATTATAAGTATATTTTAATTTTAATATTGTTTAATTGTTTTCAAGGAGAGATAAAATAGTTGATAAATTTATTTTTTATGTGTCTGTGTGCAATGTTTATATATAACTTGGGTGCAATTTATATTTTCATATATAATATTTTTTTTGTACAAATTTATATAAAATGTAGTTTAGTTTATTATTAATGTTAGAATACAATTAAATATTTTCGAGTATAAGTTCATTCTACTAGTAATTCAAAATTCTAGGCGTTATAATTTTTTTTATTTATCTAGTATAATGGAACCAAAAATTTTAAAATTATGAGGATATTTATATGAAAGAATCGAAAAGTCATATCCGAATTTACATTAGCGAATATTATACTAATAAATGAAATATTTTATTCATCTATTGGAGCACACAATAGGATTATCGGCTAAAAATATTCATCCTATAATGCAATAAATAAATACGTTTAATAAATTGACCAAATTGTATTTAATCCTTAAAAAATGTGTTAATATAATGATCAATTTTAAAAGATTATATTGATAAAATAAAAACTCTCAATTTTTTGTTGTAAGGGTGACAAGGTTTTTTGAGAATCGATGGAGGAGTTTCAATTGATGTATCAAGTCTCCTTTTCTTCGATTTTTGCTCATCAACGAGTCTAACGCTACCAATGAGCCTGCAAGGTGGGTTAGAGGCAAAATGGTACACTTAAATATTGTATGTATAAAAAAAAATGGAATATAGAACATAATTCAATAGCCATATTGAATCTTAAAACAATCAAATAGGAAATCAAAATATATATTAAATTTATCATTTAAAAAAAAGGAAAAATATATATATAATGCTAATAATAGTTTCTACCTTCATGTGTACAAGTAACAATTAAACCAATATCAGTTAGCATTCTTTGCTGTCACACCCCATATACATTTAGAGACATAAAGCAGAGCTAGACTTGATCAAAATTTTAGGCCATGACCAGTCAGGATTTGAAAAAAATAAATATTCTCAAGCCCTGCCTGGGCTTTTGATCTTTTGGCCCGGCTCGGAATTTCTAAAATTTTTGGGGTATTATGCAAACTCTTTAGACGGGCAATTGAAAATATGAACAGTAAATGAATAATAAACGTTCTATTATATGATTTTCAACTGATTAATTGATTTTAAAATAAATTAGCCTAAGTATTTTATTATACGACTTTTTCTCAGATATATATTGTATAGTGAAATATCGTTTCTTAACTTAAGTCATGTTAAATAACGATTTGTAATGCTCATAATCTACATGCAGGTTTGGGCAGTAACGCGAATATTTGTATAAAATACAAATACTTTTTTTGTATTTAAATTTATTTGAATATTTTAGAAAGTATTTAGTATTTATATTTTAAATACCAAAAAATAAAAAATATTTATTAATGACTCTTTTAATTTCATACAAATACGTTCTATTTTATATTTATAAATTGAATTTTAGTTGTAAATCAATAATTTATTAATTTATATATAATTTTTGACCCGAGTTAGCGAGAATATTAATATCTCTTCATATTGATAATGGAAAAAAACCAGTTCGGCTGAGTTTTAATTCATTAAGTTATTATATTTATTCTTAACAGGGAAATGAACAAAAAATATAGAATAGGCTGAATTTTTTATTATTGAGTTATTATGTTTATAATAGTATTTACAGGAAATATGTTACATCATCAAAAATTTTCTATATGTAATTTAACCATCATAGATGGTAAATTATCGCCAGTATAATAAATAATATAGTGAGAGCCAAAGGTAATTTGTACCCAACTAAAAATACCAAAATAATTAATGGAACGATTCCTTTCTCCAGCACAGTGATGTTATATGGCTCGATTTGAGCCGATTTATAAAACGGCTAACTCAAAATTTTCGCCAGAAAAATATTATCCAAGAGTTGAGATTTCACATGTCCAAATCTTTGTGCCATTTATGGACAAAATTTTCAGGCTTGCGTTATATTTTTTAAATTAAATAAGGAGTTAGCTGTTTTTAAAAATCGGCTCAAATCGAGCCGTTTAACAACAATACTCCAACAATTTAATTATCCATTTAAAAGTATCAAAATAATTATATGTATCCTTAAATGTATCTATTTTTGCTTCTAATTACTTGCCCATTGTAGTAAAGAAGACTGGCATAATAAATAAGTATGAATGAATATATTTAATTTAATTCACCTTTATAATAAAGGAAAAATTGTAAGAGGTTTCATTTTCAGCACCATAAAGAAATAATTATATTTCCTTTATATAAACTTAAAAATTCTATAAGTATAATATTTCTTTAATTTACAAATTCATAATAATAATAATAATAACCAGTAAAATTATAATAATTAATAGATATCAACGACTAAAATAAGATCATCATCCACAATAACGGAAAATTAATTTTAAAAATAATTTTACATATCGTTATAGACCCTCATATCAATAAATTAATGATTATCAAGCAGAATATAATTACAAATTTCCTTATTGTAACAGATTTTCACAAAACAATTATACCAAATATCCACAACCGTATCAATCAAAATTATAATTATACAGGCGCTATGACAATAATCCAAAAGATAATTTTAGATAATAATAAACAATGGCAAAATAATGAAAATAGACCATTGACAAGTTACAATAATTATAAATATAATGATGATAATAGGAATAAATAAGTTAAACCATACTGAACCAAATACATAAGACATAAAACTGTAACCTAAGTCAGCTTAATATTAAATAGCCGGCTTTTAGGTATAGGCTAAATAGCCAAAAAGTAAAAAGAAATTAAGATTTTAAGCATCCCACTAATTTTATTTTCTAAATAACGATTGCACAATGTACATATCAGTTTAAATTATATTCATATGCGCAAACATGCAAATATACCGTAGAGTAATAGCGAGTCTTTCTTGATTGAATATCTTATATATATATATATGCTGCAAGTGATGCAATCATATAGAATACAATTAAATATTGAAATATTCATAATTGTTCCCTGTGGTCTGGGTCTAGAATAGGATCACAGTCTCCACGATGGGGTGTATAAACCACCTAAAGGGGTTGAAGTCAGGAAGGGCATCCAATTTTAAAAACCTTGATACAAAATTTCCTAATGATTACAACAAAACATGGGCAGGGCACAGCCCAAAGTACCCCGAAAAGGTCGCCTAGACATAAGGAGACATGGTGGTGGAATCCGGAGGTAACGAAAGCTATGGACAAGAAACGCAGGTGCTTCAAAGAATGGTATAATAGTAAAGAAAATAATGATAACGATATTAACAAGGTGGCGAAAATAAATGCTAAGAAATTAATAGCGAAAGCTCAAGAAGAAAAAAGGCAGGAGTTTGCTAAAGAAATGAAGAACGGAATAAATGGGAAATGTGATCCGAATGGCAAAGAAGATTGTAAAAAAGAGGCAGGTTGTGGTAGGTGTTAAATGTTTGAAAAATATGGAAGGAAAAATGGTGATTGATAGTAGTAGTATTAAGACCTGAAAGATCTACATGGAAGGACTTTTGAATGAAGAGAATGAATGGGATAATGATGTTAGTTGTGCAAAGGTAGAAGGTCCATGGTGTAAATCTGGCAAGGACAAAAGAGATCAGTAAAAAAAAATGAAAAAAGGGAAGGCAGCGGGTTTAATTAGGGTTGTATCAGAGATGATTAAAGGTTCTGATGATTTAGAGATTGAATTAAACTCTTAGAACATGCGATGAAAGTTTTTGAGAGGATGTCAGAGAAAGGATAAGGGAACAAATTTAAAATGATGAAATGCAGTTTGGTTTTACATTGGGAAAAGGCATGACAGATGCAATTTTTGTGTGAGACAAAACAGAAGTATCTTGCGAAGGAAAAGAAATTGCATTATGCGTTTGATGATTTGGAGAAAGCATTTGACAGGGTTTACAAAATTATATCGCCAATAAATCTAACTAGCATTAACAACACTAATTAAATTTTTAAAAATTATACAGTTCACGTATTATTATAAAATTTAGTATCAAATTCATTTTTAAAAAAATGTGAAAAAATTTCACCTTGCTAAATATGAATCCTAGCTTCGGATTGCTTGACAGACATTAACAGTTAACAGTACTGAACTAGGCGAGCTATTAGAATAAAATTTTATTAATACTTATTAAAAAAAGAAGATCTTGTTTGTATTTAAAACAAGCCAAATTAGGGTCTTCTTGTTCAAATACTTTTTAGCCTGCACTAAAAAGCAAATAAGTCAATATAGGACACAGCTTAACAATTTTTTACATAAATTTTTATTGTAAAATATTTTGCAAATTTTATAAAATTTCATAATGATAAAAAATTTAATTCAAAACTTTTACATTATTTTATAATATATATATACACATAATCCTATATCATGTATAAACATATAAATTTATAGTATGACAAAATAAACTTTATAAACATTTCAAATTAAATTATCACCAACTATTCTTGATTTTGCTAGTTTAGAACCTCTTATTGCATAAGCGATTTGCCTAAATGTTTTACCTAAAATATCTAACAATTTGAAAGGTAACTTTTTGAATGTTTTAATAATGGATTTATCAAAGAAGATAATAAAAATGAATTTTGTCACCTGGCAAAAAAATTGATGAATACGAAATTTACAATACATCTATGTAAATTTCTGTCCCTTTTCTCTTGATTAATATCTATTCTTCTAATAATAAGTTGCATACATAAAAATTTCAGATGTTGCATTAAAAACACAATTAATGCTTCCATTAAAACAACTAATTTATCAAATCGAATTTCGTTTACAATGCTTAGACACCGAATTAATTAGTTAACCAAATTCGTAACTAATTAATCAAGCTAGAACAGACATAAGTAAAAAAAAATTACAACTGATACTATAAAAATCGGTTTGCAAAAAGGATATTTGCAATTTAAGTATTTTTTTTTGAAAAAAATTGTGGGTATTTTAGTATTTATATTTTAAATATCTTTGTTAAAAATGTATATGTATTTATATTCAAATACTTTTTTTAGTGTGTATTTATATTCGAATACACATTTTGAATAAAGGTCGGCACTGACCTGTTCGAGTTCTAAAGTTGGACTTGATTATTTCTATTTTAATAATCTTTCTAAAAAAAATTTACTTATTTTCCTCTGGCTCTTATAAGTTTTCTTGCTTTCTTTGAAAGAAAAAAATAGTAAAAAATTTTAATAACTAATTTTTTGGATTGGATTATCAGACTATAAGTGGAATTAGATCTATTCTAGCATTTCAAAATGTTCGAGCTATGACTGAAATAATTTTCTTTTAATTTAGCACAGGCCAGGCCATACCTGAAAAATAAGGTTCCATCTATGTAATATTCTACCATGTAATATATTATTGAAAAATAAAAATAGAGCCTTATAATTGTAACAATTGATGTGTATTAAATTGTTTTTTTTGTAAAATGTTTATTATTATTATTATTATATATTTTGAGATTAATTTGAATAATAAAGGCGGAATTTGATTTTACATTACAAAATAAAAGAATAAGAAAAACTCGTTTACTATTAAAATACATTACAAAAATGGCTCAGTCTAAACTTATAGACTATATACAAAATCTAAGAACATTAGCAACGACTTGTGATTTTGGGGAATATTTAAATACTGCATTTAGAGATAAATTTATATTCGGAATAAAAAATCCAAAAATTTTACAAAGATTACTATCCGAAGACGATATAGACATAAATAAAGCTATTCAGATAGCTACTGCAGTAGAAACAGCAATAAAAAATACAAAATAAATACAAAATGATGAAACTAAAATCGATCATTTAGAAGAGGAACATAATGATAATATAAATAAAATTAAAAAAGTTAATGATAATGATAAACAAACAAAATCATATAATAATAATGATAAACGATTAAAATCACATTAAGGAAAAGAACCGAAAATGTATTAATTGAAGAACACGAATTAGAAGAGAGTACTGAAGTAGAAGAGAAAACCGAAGAGATAATAAACAATGAGGATGTAAAAAATAACGATGAAATGAATCCAAAGGAGAGGGAGGAAGAAACAAGTCAAGATCGATATCCAAAAAGGATACAATCGAAACCAGATTGACTGGGGATAAATGATGTGTATTAAATTGTTGTTTTTTGTTATTTTTTGTAAAACGTTTATTATTATATATTTTGAGATTAATTTGAATAATAAAGGCGGAATTTGATTTTACATTACAAAATAAAAGAATAAGAAAAACTCGTTTACTATTAAAATACATTACAACAATGGTAAAACTAAAAAATAAGAGCTGAGAATAATAGAATAGTCAGATAACACTTAATGCTATAATCATTTACAAAATTAATCTTTCTTGTCAACTAAGACTACTATAAAGTTTAAAAAAAAATTATCAATCAATGAGGTCTATCTTTGATAGTTAAAAATTTCCCCTCTTCCAAAATTGCTGGTACGTTATTTATGCATATGTGAGGAAAAAATGGACAAAATTACTTAATTCATTCTCTCCGACAAAATTCCTATCACAATTCGAACATTTAAGTACTAAAATATCGATATGATTAGATTCAAAATTATTGACATCGTGGGCTTTTGCGTTTTTCTGATGTTTGTCAAGCGCTCTGTAACAACAAGTAGAATATTCACATAGCTTGCACCTTTTACGTCGCCTTTTTTTATAAATAAATATAGAATATATATAGTAGTTTGTAATGTTGTAAACAAACGCGTTCAAGTTTGTTCTTTTGAAAAAGATGATGAACGGAGTTTTTTTATTTTTAAACATTGAATGTGAACGACGAACGCGTTCTCGTTTAATTTTAGAAAATCTTCTTATTTTTATTCATTTAAAAAAATATATATTATTTAATAGTAATCCTAATTTTTTTAACAAAAAAGAGTTATTTTGTTTTCTTTATCACATTTGAATTTTTTTAACCATTAACATTACAAAAAATATAATAAATATTTTACAGTAACATCCAATATTCAATAAAATTCTATCCTTACCAAATGTAAAATGTGTACAAAAAATATATATTATCAATTTCAAATCTTCAGGTTCTAATTTAAATAGCTATTTGATTTTAAAATTTATTATTTTATATAATATAACTATATGTAAATGTTTCCTGTTAATAATTTATTTAAGATAATTGTATTTCATAGGCTTATTAAATTATTATGATTATTATAATAGATACATAAAGTAAAAATCATTAAATTAAATATTATATATATATAAGTATAAAATAATTAATTCCTTAATATTATTTGTTTTGAATGTTTATTTAAAATTTAGCTATTAATTTTAAGTTAAATTTATTTGATATATAAAAGTTTTATACATTAAACATTAATAAAAAAACATTTTTTTATTTATTTTTTATTGTGTTAAAAAATTAAGGTATTAAAAAAAATTTATTCATAGTTTTGAATGAACGTGAACGCGTTAATGGAGATAAACGCGTTCCTTTTTTTTGAAAGGGAACAATGAATGTGAAAGCGTTCTATTTTTGTCAATGAACGTTGAACGCGTACGATTTTTTTAGACCATTTTTTTATAAAAAACTGAATTTTTTGTAATTAGGATTAGTTGATAAATAATTCTCATTTTTATAATAGAAAAATAGTTCTGTACCTGAAATGATCGGTATTTTTGACCAATTTGCGACATTCAAAGCAATTTTTGCCTATGATCATTTCTGTAGCCATGAAAAATCGGGTATTCGAACAAGTTCCATTTATTGATTGATTACTGGTGATAGCAATAGACTGCTCCTTTGGGGTGCTCAGTTGAGGAGATACTTTTTTAATTGGAGGTGACGCCGTATCCAGCTGAGAGAGGAATCAAAATTTTGTTTTAGAATGTATTTATAACGAGATAAGAGGCAGGATAATCATTTAAAAATCATTTTTTTTAAAAATAGCCTAAATCTGAACACATTTATATTATATTATTGATCCAGCATAAGAATTATAATCACCATCGATTTTAGCATCTTTAAAAAAACTAAAAGCTGAGAGTAAAGGAGGTGAATTTCGATAAATATCTACTTGCCTCGAATATGAAAAAAAGTAGCATATTAAAAATAATGTTCCAAAATACATTTATAATTATCATAAGGAATATAAAAATATTTCCAATAAAACTTTCTTTCCATCTTCCATTTATTAAATAATAATAATTAACGATAGTTTTGTGGTTTATATAGACTCGTATAAACATTTTTAAAAACATATTCCTTAAAAGGAATGAATGGAAGAAAAAAGGCATTTGTTTTTAATTGAAATTGCGGGGAAAAATAGAATTAAAGGAGATCTCGTTGCTTATATAAAAACCTTCTTGACTGGAGTCTTAATTGGAGTAGTTGAAGCAGGAACAACCTTTTTCTTCTTGTGGGATACACCCGATGATGGTTTTTTGGTTTTCTGGGATATGAAACCTATAAAAAAAATAATATAAAATAAAATGTAAAAATTTTAAACTCGTAATTCGAAAAAAATATTCGAGAAAGATAATCGAATGAAGATTAAAAAATTTAAAATAATAATAATTGGGGACCAATAAATTAAAAATATCTAATAAAATAAACAGGTTAAACTGTATTACTCGGGAATTTTGAATAGTGTTGACAAAAATCAGAATTTATTTATTAAAAAAATCGCTTTGATTAAGTCGCATTTTTTTAATTTAAAATAAAATATAAGCTCCGGAGGAAAGTAACCGAGGCAAAGTTATTAATTAAATATGCAATCCTTTTTTTTCACATAACGTCGAAAAAAAAAATTTATGTTAAAAATGTTAGATTAGTTTTAGGGATGTACCGATATTTTTATCGGATCGGGCCGATATTTCATCTTTTTTAAATATAGGTTATCGATCAATATTATAAAATTTTCCGTTCCGAGCAGATAAAATGGCGTCTTCATTTTTTTATAAGATTAATTTCAAATTTATATATTTGTTTGTTACTTATTATGTAAATAGCTTAATGTTATTATATAAATAAGTGATTTATCAATAAAAAATTTTTATAAACTTTCAGATTCATGGATATGAACTATAACTGATCATTATAATATATTTAAATGACCTATGTTATGGTATAGTTGAATTATAGATATTATCATAAAGTATATGAGATGAGATGAGTAGATGTATATAGTAAGATAAAATCGCTCCATTTGAACCGATTTTTAAAAACGGCCAATTTAATATTTTAACCAAAAAAAATATTGCCTAAGCCTCGAGATTTCGCTAATAGATGTCCAAACCCTTTTGAGCAAAACCTTAGGCTTGCATAATATTTTTTTTGGTGAGTTAGCCATTTTTAAAAATTGACTAAAATAGAATGATTTTGCAACATTAGATGTATGCATTAAAAATTAAAACAATGAGTATGTTTACAGAATACAAAATTAGATGTGATATCGGATCGGTAATTGGCTGATATCAATTTAATATCGGTAATAATTATATTTAATAGATAAAAAAATTTTGCATAGAATTTATATTTATAAACTGAATCTGAATTAATCTTAGCATCAGCAAAATATAGAATAAATATTTATTGAACGGAACAGAAATACTTATAAGAGGTCCTAATTTTAACGATGTTTATCATATCAAAATAATAAATTTAGGATAAAAGCATTTAAATATCATATAATTTGGCATTTTCATGAAAAAAAAACCAAAATGAGGCATAATAAAACGTTTTATTTGAAATAAATAATTATTATTAAAATACAAACAAAGAAAGTGAATTGATTTAAATCAGGATTTTTAACATCGATTAAAATTGTGATTTATTTATGCCAACCCTAATTATCAGTCACAAATTACATATATACAATGTCTAATAAAATTTAATTATTATATTATCTGCAAAAGAACAATAAGCCAGATAGATGATGGAATCCGTTTACTCTTATCCCCCTCAAATCATTCAATCTATATACCTTATATATATACGCCCATTTCAAATCTGCAGCTATGACGATTATCATGTACACGGATTTAAGCAATAATAATCTCTATAATTAACGTATTAAACAAATTCTCTTACTTCACAGATATTCTATTTTGTGTATTTAAATAGTTCTTAAATTTTTTTTTGAAAATAACATTCATTTCTCTGTACCTTTTTACATAAGAATTAACTTTGCTTAAATATCAACATTTCATTTCCTTAAATTTTTATTACCAAAGAGTCAAATCTAACATTCACATTAAAATAACTCTTAGAAAAAATATCACATAAATATTATACTTTTAGAAACATTGGCATCTTGCACATCCTCTTCTGTCATGTACGGTTTTAAATCAACATTGGGTTTACGTATATAACCAGTGGAGGCGAAAGACTTGTCTAATCGATAAATAATTTCAGAAATTTTAATAAAAATAAATAATTTTTGTTATAGTAATGTTATTGCGAAAAATAAGATCAAGATTATTTAACTAATTAGCCTTGGTTTGTTCACTTTCTTGTTAAATTTAATATCTTGTTGCCTTTTTTCTTCCTGTTTATTATTTCCTTTCCTTATCCATATTTTTTTAAACGTATTGTTAGTTATGTATAAGTATTATTATTTTCATCTTCATATTAAATTTCTACTCAATTGATTATTTAATTTGTGACGATTTTTCATTATAGACATTAGGCTTCTTAAAATTAGAATTAGAATTTATATAAGCGATCTGCATCAGGCCTAATTTTTTAAACCCGGCCCAGTCCGAAATTTTTTTAAAAAATGTTTTACCGGCCTGACCCGAATTCGAAATTTTTTTTAAAAAAATTTACCGAATTAATTTAAATATAGATATTAATTTTTATAGTTACTTAAAATAAAAGTCATATGTTATATGGCATTTAGTTTCTATAAATAAAATCAAATATTTTTATTTACATAAAAAATTCAATATAAAATTGATAAATTTAAATATATTTTAAAAAAATTTCAAGGCCCAACCCGACCCAAATTTTTTTAAAAAATATTAGGCTCAACCTGGCCCGAACCCGATATTTTTGAAAAAATTAGGCCCAAACCCGGCCCGGGGCTTCAAGATGGGGGACCGGGCCTACTTTTGCAGATCTCTAATTTATATATTGGAGGAAGATCATATTTTAAAAAGTCACCATTTCCCTGCCACAGGGCAGGGCATTAAGTAAATAACAACTCTGGTAAAATTAATTCTCTACAATCATCATCATCCAAAAATTATTTATTTATTTAAATCCAGCCCCTTATAGTTGTTCTTTTCAAAAAGTATCATCAAAACTATGAAATTTTCTAAGGGTTTCAAAAAAAAGAAAATTTTTGAATATATTGTTAGGTCAATAATTTCACTCTCGATTGGTAAATTATCCATGTCCTCGATTCCTTCGTCTAGATCAGAATATAAGGACCATAAATCGGCTAGCTTACGCGGTATTTGAACGGGCTCAATAGTAGCTATAACAAAAAAATTGAGTTTTTAATATGTAGTTACTAAAAATGATAGAAAAAATGACTGAAATAAGCGTAAGATAGGCGATGGAAATGTAATTTTAAAAATATATATAAATAAATTTTAGGCCCTTTTTTGTTTGCGTATAGGTATCATTTATTTTTACCATTTCCATATGTATGAAAGAAAGAAAAAATAAGATATAAATAGAAGTAAAATGTAAAATTTTTAGGGGGAGGCTAACAATATCACTAATATTTAGTACATTGGAAATTGATTTATTTTTTTTTGTAAAACGGTTTTCAAAATGAGAATCAGAAACATAACAAATAATATTTTTAAAAAATTGATTATAAATAACAGAACCTTTTTCTTTTAAAAAAAATGAAAGTTAAATAATTTCTGTTTGGGAAATAAAGCAACTGGTTTTTTCTAAAATGGCTCTAAGTGCCAAAAAGTAATGGTAATAGAAAAGATATAATAAATGAGAAACAAATTTAGAAAGACAAAAAAAGAGTGGAAAGTAAAGAAAGGGGGAGATTATTAAAAACAGAAAATAAATGAGAGATAGAAAAAAAATAAATAATGATATGAAAACTAACCTTTCCCCTCGGAATTGCCCCCAAAAGTTTCATGGTGCTTAGAGAGATGCTTATCGAATTGTTCAACGTGACAAAAATTGAGCCGACACAACCCGCACTGAATTTGCTTGCGTTTATCCTTCACTGACGGGGCGTTAGAATTTATAATGTCCTCAAGGGCTGGAAAATAAAAATAGTTTGTCAAATATAAGATTTAATTATTGATGAAAACACGTTTTAAAAAATTGAAAATTATTATCGTTTCCATTTTCCTTTTCTCCCTTACTCTTCTAAACTTGTATTACCATCCATATTATTTTTACTCATTCTCTTTAAAGGTAAATTTAAAAATATGTTTTTTACCTGGTGTAGAAGGGGAAGGGGTCATATGTCTCGCTACGTGGTTGGCATACACATCCAATGGTGAGCTAGCTTCTGTATGCCTTGGTATTTTAATGACGACTAAGCAAAAGGGGCATAAGGCAAAATGAGTATTTCTATGTTCCTGAGTTTTATTAAGGTTATGAAGTTATTTAAAAATCGTATTTTTACATTTACAAGAGCTCAATAGGAGTTCATATAAAATGCCTTACATTATTGTAACATCTTTTCCTTTATAAACTCTCACTTCCCGACTCTGGTTACAGTGCAAAATATGGGTTTTTAAAAAATTGAAAAATTTCTTGTATTTTTGATAAAATATACCTTATTTTATTTTAAAATATCCTTGTAAAATAATTTAACTAGAGTACAAGCCTTTGTATTTATGTCTATGTATTAGGCCGCTTTAAATTTATACAATCCTAGAGTGATAGTGCAAATGTTACAGTGGCGTATCCAGGATTTTCTTATGGGGGGGGGGGGGGCTCCTTAGCTGGCCTTCGGCCGGGTCTTATGTTTTAGCTTTTCTATTAAATTATTCATAATTTAATAATAATTATATATCTATTTTTAACTTTTATTTACTAATTTGTGCATATCGATATTACAAGCCTGTTTTTTATTATTTTAAGTTAAGTATGTTATATTTAATAAGGTTTTTGAAATGTAAAGTTGAAATAAAGTTTAATGTCATTTTATTTTAAAATTTGCTTTAAAAACTAGCCTCCGCTTAAATTCTCATGTATCTCGATATATTTTTAGAGGTATATCTATATTTATTTATAGATATAATTTTATTTTGCGTTTTTTATATTAAAAAAAATATTTGAAATTAATTCATTAAATATTATGTCAGATTCCAAATTTATTTCATTAAAAGCAAAACAGACAAATTTTATTTTACACAATGGGTGACGACAACATGTTAAATTTTAATTGATAAATTATTAAAGTCAAACTAAATTGCAAACAGATAACTTCTGAAAAAAAATGAAATAACTTAATATCAAATATTTTCGGTACCCCTTTAGAGAATATGAATGATATAAAATATAAATAATTTTTTACAAAAATGAGTGTCGGAATTTTAGTATATTTAAGCATTATAACCCAATATAATGTTGTTATTCATAAAATAACACCCCTTTTAAAGTTTTCCGCTAAAAGACTTTTTAGGATGGCTAAAAATGTCTATACAGGATAAAAGGGGATGCCTTAATGATCAAAATTTTGAAGATGTTCTTTTATTAAAATCTAACAATTATTTATAATCATCTAATTATATATTTTTTAATATTTATCACTTAATTATATATTTGTGCAAAGGTATCAACTCAATAAAAGAATTTAGTACACTTTAAAATCAATTTTAAAAAGAGAATCCTAAATTAGGTATTATGCTCACCTATAAATATAATAAAAATGAATCTCGGGAAAAGTTATCATATAGATTTCTAGCAATCTATATAGATATCGATACATTAAAAAATATATATTTAGTGAGCCAGGTTAAAGATCGGCTTTTATAAGTTGATGTGTCTAACGTTTTCAAAAATAATGAATTAATATTATAGCGCATAGCACATCAGACCCATTCTGAGATAAAAAAGTTATATATTTTTTTGAGAAATAACGTAGTGGGATAGGAACCTTATTTCAAAAAAAATTATCAGGGATACGTTCCAAACTTCCAAAATTTTATGGATTGTCAGAAGGTTATAAATATGAAAATTTGAAAGTAACTGTAATATTAATCTCTAGAAAAATAATTTAGCCGAACAAAAAAATGGCATTTGAGTCCCTGAATATTATTAATAAACGAGATATAAATTAAAGTGTGTTTAAAACCTTTTTAAAATGAACCAAGATATCGATATAGCAAGAAGATTGTGTTTCGCAAAGTTGACACCAGAATGGCATCTCCTTAACCGAGTGACTCCTATTGGCCTGACCTTCTGTGGGGCAAAACTTTTCAGTCATGTGCTGAATCAAATCGTGTAGGTTCGAAAATTGGAGCTCACAAAACATGCATATGTTGGCCGGGTCAAAGGTGGATAAGTGCACCTTTCAAATAAAAGACGAGCACGAAAACTACATTATCATCTACTTTTTCTTAATCCCCCCCCCATCTCTATATTTATTTTCACCTATATTTTTTATATTCGTTCTTTCTATCTTCTCACCCTTCCCATTTTATTTATTTATTACTTTTCAATATATTTTGTTATGGTGTCAGGTAGATTAATGAAGAATTGACAAGAATATTGGGCAAGGTGAAATTTAAATGTTATTTCCAATCTCTCTGAATGGTTAGCTAAGCCTTTACTACCTAACTACTCATCTATCCCATGATCCCCATCTCAGACTTGGTAGCTAAACAAATATGCAAATTCAACAGAATTTATTGTTTAAAATCCATATCCATCAATCCTTCTAACCTTGCATTACTAATGTTAAATAATGTAAAAACTTTTAGCTGATGAATTTCCTTATCCTCCACAGTATCAAAGGCCCTAAAACAATGTCTACATCTATACTCTTCCAAACACATTTTATCAAATTGTGTTTTGAAATGACCCAAAACATGCACCATAGCCTTCAGGTTGTCGTTGAAAATGAGAGAACATTTTGAACACTTATAAAAAGTAATATTGGAAATATATATTGATAATGCATAAAATATATTTGTATATTATAAATGTGATATGATTTAGCAATAAGAGTCTGATTTCATGAATTAATGACAAAGTGCAAAGAAAACCCAACCACAAATATTTAAATAATTATATCTAATATGTATTTAAGAATGATTTTTAAAAAATGAGACTTTGATGTATTAAGATTATATTTCCCTATTAACCATTTATGAAAGTAAAATAAAATTACATAATAACCTTCAATGGCGTAAGCAACCGATTATTTAAGTTGTTTTGATTGTACTGAATATTATAATCCACTCGTTTCCCATAATATTTAGATATTATATCTAAGGGGCATTTATATTTAAAAAAAGTATAACATTAAATTTACAAAACATAAAATTCAAATCGACAAGATAAAGTACAAAATAAACTGTTATTATTATACAAGTAAGCTATGAATTTTGGGTGCTAATTTTAAATATTTTTTATCCCCTATATCCCTTGGAGGTTTAGATCAGGTAGTCACCACCCCAAATTCCAACCGATATCCTTATTATAATCCAATTTCTGAGCCATAGAGTAGAATAACTAATATCTATACTAAATAATAAATGAATGAATATTTTTAAAAAATTAATAAAAGAAAATAAGATTTTTATGCTGTGCCATTTTCAGTGACATTCCTAAAGAATTTAACTGTCCTTTGGATTGATTGTCCTACAGAACTTACTTATTATGAATGGGTTTATTTTACTTTAATTTTTTAAACAAACTGAAACCAAAAATTAATTACTCTATTTTATTTTTTTTAAACAAACAAAATTATATTTTCAAAAAAAATTATAAAATTTATATATATTAAATTTTACAAATTTTAATAAATTATTTTTATATTTTGGAAAATATTTTTTTAAAGACGAAGATGAAAATAAGTATAATGAAAATAATATTCAATTCAAAAATACGAAAATGCAAATATTTGTTTCGATTTGCATTTTATACTCATGGCCAGTATTATGGCAAATTTTTTTCTCGCACTCTCCCCTTCATCTTTCAGATTTTTAGTCTCGATATGTACTTTTATACTCCTTTCAATATATGATCATCTACAATTAAACGATTTCGTGAAATACACTCATTTCCCAGTATCACCTTCCCATTTTCTATACCATGTCTCCCTTAATAAATTCTCCTAACCAATAAATAATACATTGCACTCCTTACATCACCAAGTCACCAACTTCTTTATGTCTTTCTTAAGAAAAGTGTTACATACAACCATTTCTATTTATCAAATTCTAATATTCTTCCACCTTAAGAATTTTTCATGCCAAAACAAATCCATAGACTTCTTTGTATTCTGAAATATTCGGCCCAACATGATTATCTTCTCTAGAGGTATTCCTGATTTTAGTTCTTTATCCCAAAATACCTCTTATTCTTCAGCTCTACTTTTTGGGATCATATAACAAAATACCGAAAATACCATTTTCATAATCATGACTTATTACTATCCTTCCAACAGAATTTGCACTTTTCATTCATCATACCAATCATTCTTGCACTTTTTCCTTCAATTTGTATTAATACCTCTACTGTGGCCCTTATTTGTCACAACCAGATCAGTTTCCCCATAGCAACAGGCCATTTATACGTCATATGTCTCATTTTCATGAATTGTAGGTCGAATGAATATTATTAATCTTCCTTTTGATTGTCACAGGAACCTTTCTACTATGATGCAGCCATATTTTGTTGAACTTTTCATAAAAGGTAATGAAGCAAGTTTTTCTGATTGTTGACCATTCTGTGATCAATATTAATTGATTTTAGATGATCATATTTTATTCCAAGTCACAGTGAACCTAAAATCTCCATTAGCCATTTGAAGACTTGTCACTCCTCTGTGGCATTAATTTGGAAGCTAGAATTGATGGTATATAGGAACTTCTATATCCCCTTATAATGACAATATTACCAACCTCAAAATATTACCCCTTACCCCTATTCCTACCTACTCTAAATTATGCCCTATCACTCACCTATCAAATTAGGAAAATTTTAAATCATAATAATTAGAAAAGTGGACAAATCAACATTACCCCCCCCCCCCATTTTATTCAAATGTAAATGGTGTTAAAAATTTTCTCAAATTTCAATAGAAATTTTGCTTCATACCCCCCCCCCCCCATAGTAGAAACCCTGATAATAAATATAATTATACAATATTTATATTTAAATAATCATAATAGTAAAATTATTTAAAGGAAAGTAGCTAAAAATTTGATATTATTTTATGTTATATTATTTACAAGAAAAGGATTCTAAATATTAAAAGTAAAAGTCCCATCTGCATAAATATTATCCATATTTTAAATCAAGATTGAGGAATAATGAAAAACTTAATTATTCATGATAATAATGAAAATTTGTGAATTGGCACAGCTCTAATGATTTATAAATTTTTGATTATTTCTTATTTAAAATTTTTTTCATTTGTAAAATGTCCAATATCTAGGGAAATTATATCTAGTAAAAAAATGAGCCATCAAAGATAATCAATGAATTGGAGTTATTTTGACCCTTTATGGAAAAATGTTAAAAGAAGAAATCCTATCTAGTTTATATGGTAAACCTAGTTGAAAATTTTAAATCACATTTAAAAGTTAAAAAGTATCACATCTGCTTGATTCATAGTTAATCTGGTAGATTTGTAGTTTACTTGTTGATTAAATGTTTACCAGGTCAACTCACATTAACCATTTGATATCTTAATCAGATTGGAGTTTAACTAAAAACAAGATAATCAAATTAGAACTTGCAAATTGGTCCAATACTTGGCCCCTAATTTTTTTATATTAAATTGGGCCAGTGTTTTTTTTATATTTATCTTATAAATTGTGTTAAATTAAAAATTTAATGTTAAATTTTCAGGGCTCTAAATCTATTATAAATTAATGTATTTCATTATATATTTTAAAAAGAGTATAAAAATCTTAACATACCATTAATCGAGGCTGTTGTCTGTAAATTGTTTTCAGCAATTTTATTTTCAATAACTCCTAAAGGCTTTTTAGATTTTTTACTACTAATAGTTGAAGGTGAACTTGACAAAAGTTTTATCTTTGGGAGAAATGTTTTTTTTTCTATTATAAAGTATAATATAATATATATATTTTAATTACTTTTTGAAGAATATATAACATCTTCAATCAAATCATTAACATTAGTTAAGGAAGAATCATCATCAGGAATATAATTGTATGTTGAAGGTGACGAGTGTGGGGGAGAATAAATTGTCTTGTTACATTATATATAATATTTATATAATTTTAATTACCTTTGGCTTTCTAATTCTTTTGTTAGGATTAGAATCTTTAATTGATTCTTCATCATATTCAGAAGAAATAGAATAATCTTTTAAAATTTAATTTAATTATCAATCATATATATTATACCAGTTTTTAAACTTTGTGGATAGGAATTGTTATCATTTTGCTTTCCTAAAATATTATTAGCAATTTTTTTGTTCAGACATTCTAATTCCTTGATAAATAATTCATATATTTCCCATTGTTTTGATAAATGATCAAGTTGAGTTTTACTTAACTTTTCATCTTGACAAACTATAATAAAAGGTTCCAAATTGCTCATTTTAAGAGATGTTCTTGAGTGAACTCCTTGATCCATAATCTCTTCAATAGGATCGATCTCTGGCTCATAAACTATGGATATCGGCTTATTAAAATCAGAAGCTAGATTCTTTCTTTCATTCGATTCTTTGTTTAATTGGGAGCCATAACTTGTATATGTCACTTTTCCAGTACTTTTTTTAGCTCTATTAACCTTTGCATTAGAATTGATAATTGTCATTAAAAAGACTATTAATTTAGTTTTTTGGACAAAAGATAATTTTACCAAACTACTTGTTAATACTCGTATAAATATTTGACAGTTAAGCCTCGTCACTCAAACAATTCTTAATTAATTGGTAAACGTAACAATATAATTTAACATGATGTATTTGGTAAATCTCGTACGCTTGAGTAATATTGGGGAATTTTATTTATAATCATAATAACAATACAGCAAGTGTTAAATAAATCGCAAAGCAGACCTAATATTCGGTATATTTTTTTCGACCACAGCTAGTCGAAACATATAAAAAACATCAACTCAAAACATTGGTAGGTTCCCAATTCAAACCTGGTCGAAACCTTAAAAATGATCTTAGCTATACAAAAATATGAGTTGTTTTTTTTTAACTCCGATCTAAAGTCAAATCGACAATAAATGATAGCCCTATTTTTCAACGCAAATTTTACTCGAGCCCAATTATGAAATATGATTATAAATAATAATAAAATTATCAAAAGTTAGTATAAATAATCTATATTATAATTTCCCGAAGTGTTCTCTTCGTCATGTCCTCACTACCCCAAGTCAATCAAACCTTTAAAACGTTGCATTTAAAATATATGTCATGTATACAGGGTTGGGCAGTATCGCAGATATTTGTATCTAAGATACAAGATACTTTTGTATCTTGTATTTTTTTAAAAATTTTGGAAAGTATCTTGTATCCAGTATCTAAGATACATATTATTTAAAAGTATTTGTATCTTAACCAACTTTGTATTCAAAAAGATATAGATACTTTAAAAAAAAATTATATTGGTTAATTTAAATAGTATTAAAATTTAAAATGATATTGTTTTAAGATTTAAATGAAAAATTTAATCAAAATTTAGATATTTTAAGATAATTTTTGATATATGACGTTGGTCGTCATATAGCAATTTGCTAACTATTAGAACTACCATATTTGAATCGATTTATATCTGTCTATTTTAAAATTATGGAAGAAGAAAATAGAATAATATGTTTATCTTCGTCTTCAGATGATTCTTCAACCGAAAATTATAACAATAAATTTAAACTAAGCATACTTAATGGTAAATTTTTTGAAGTACTTCAAGATGATCATAATAAAGTTACTGCAGAATGTAAAGAATGCCACAAACCTATAAAGGGTTCTGCGGATTAGTCATCAAATTTTGTCAAGCATCTAAAAGTATAATTATATAATGAATCACATTTATAATCATATTCATTATCATATTCCATATCTGTTGCTAAATTTAGAAGTATTTTAAAATATATTTTCATATTATTGATAAAAATCATTTATGAAATGAATAAGAAATCTAATATTGATAAAAAAAGAGGTTGTTAATTTGAACACTAGGCCAAAATATAATCCAAATATTTGGGGCACCATTTTTATATGATAGAATTTAATCCAACATGTGTTTTTTTTTTAATTTTTACATATATGCTTAAAATATATAATTTTTTATTCCTACAAATGTATTTTTTTAATGATTTTACAAAAATTATTTATAAAATTTTAATGGGTATTAATTATTATTTAAAAATAAGACAAAAGTTTCATAAATATTTTAATATAAATATATTTCATCTAATTTTATCATTAAAAGTAGAATTTTTTACAAAAAAATTAGTAAATATCTAATATAAAATATTTTATTATTTGTTTCACTTATAGAGACGTCATCTGGAATCATAAAAATTATATGACCCATCATAAAATATCACACAAACAGAAAAAACAAAAAGAAATAGTGAAAACTACATCATTAACTCAAAAAAAATTAGAATTTTCAAATGATAATAAGAAAAAAATATAAGGTAAATTTAATAATTTATTAACTTCATTTGTTGTAAAAGGAATGCATCCATTATCCATAGTTGAGCAAAAGGAATTTGTCAAAATGATGGAAGTTAAATTCAATTTTTTTTTCTCTTATCCTTATTTCTTCTATTTGTCAATTTATTAGAAATATTATCCTGTATTGGAAATCCAATTTAAATTTTTTCTAGAAGATTTTTGCAAAGAAAAATTGATGAAAACTTCATACATGAAACTGATAATTTAAAACAGTTATTGAAAGCTCAGACATACATCTGCACTACTGCAGATATTTGGTCTACTAAGACTAAAAGCTTTCTTGGAATGACTTGTCACTGGGTAATAAAATAATATGCTATTTTATTTATAAATTCAATTAAATAAATATTTAAATAAGCTCTCAAGTGATAGTTTACAAAGAAAATCTCGGGCCCTTGTTGTGGGAAGATTTTCAGGAAGCCACACCTATGATAAAATAGCAGAATTAGTTGATGAAATTCATCGTGACTTTGGTATTGACGGAAAAGTTATAGCAACTGTTACAGATAACGGCTCTAACTTTAAGAAAGCTTTCAAGGAGTTTGGATATTCTATGGAAGCTGTAGAGAATGACTTTGACATCAATGATGATGAATGTATAGAATTCAAAATCATTGAAAGTATTATTTAATACTTCTTTAAAATTTATTATGATATTGTAAATTTAGTAAAAAATTTTATATGCGAGTTTTCTTTCATTTATTAGATTCCTGTGTAGTGAATTCATGGTTGCTCTATAGACGCCACATGAAACAGGAAAATAGTAAACATATATCCCTTTTAGTATTTAAAGCTCAGATAGCTAAAGGTTTGATGATGGTTGGAAAGGAAAATGATGGAAAAGAAGGTAGACCTACGTTGGAGATTAAAGGAAGTTGAATAGTTTTCATCCAATCCAGATATCAGATAATAAAACAGGGCATTGGCCATCAGCGGTTAGTAGACACAGATGCAAGTACTACAAAAATGGTTATTCAAGATTTGAATGTATAAAATTTAAAATATCTTTATGTTTAAATAAAAATCACAATTGTTTTATTTCTTATCATTCAAAATAAATTATATATTTTTTTACATATGAATATCCCAATGATGACAATTGGTAACATTTCATAATTCTCTATATATACACTTTTTTAAATAAAAAACGTTGAGAATGTGTTATTTGTGTCTTGTTTAACTCAGTTTTAGAAGAAAAAAAATTTTTTGTTCACGGGAAATATTTCGCGCGCGAAAGGGTTAAGGATCTAAAGAAGCCTAACATTGCCTCAACACATTCGTTGTTTGTGCCATACGATAAGTCTAATTGCCACAACAGATGTCGAGAGAGCTATTAAGGATTCTCCTAACATTTCTAAAATTCATCATCCTGCAATAGCTAAATGTACTAAGCTATGGAATACAAATAATAGACCTAAAACTGCAGAACTTATAAAAGCAGTTTTAGGAAAACAATTAGTTACACCTTGTTGCACTAGATGGAATAGTTTGTATGATAGTCTTCATAGTTTATTAAAATTTAAAAGCGAACTTACTAAATTATGTCAAAAATTAGAATTTCCTAAATTAAGAGATATTGAAATTCAATATTTAGAAGAATATTGCAATATAATGGCCCCATTGGCTATAACGATTGACAAAATACAAAGTGAAATCAACTGCTATTATGGAGAATCAGCTCCAATTTTAAATGTCGTTAAAAAAAATTACAAATTTAATTCAAACCAATCTACAATTTTGCAAACCATCAGCTATTGATTAATTAATGTTTCTGTTTTTAAAAAAAAAAATTTTTTTTAAAACAAAATTTCACACAACAAAAAAAATTAAATGAATTTAAAACAAAAATTAATTAATGTTTATGTTTTTTTAAAAAAAATGATTCACAAACAAGAAAATTAATTAATGTAAAAAAAAATTACTGTTTATGTATTTAAAACTTTTAAAACACTGACTAATTTACCAATAAAACAAGAACCAATGCTTGCGTTACGAAACATAAACCCATTTTAAATCTATTCATATTTCCTTTTAAGGTCTTCCAAACATACACTGGCCATTACATTATAAACAAGAGAAAAGGGGGGGGGGGGGGGGAGGAAAAAAAATAACTCGAAAAAAAATAACTCAAACATGCAGCACGTGCTAACAAAAAAACTCTTTTAATTTCTTTTTTTATAAATACCTTCCCAGTACCAATACTAATGTTCAACAGCCATGATTTATCCTATAAGGCTATAAACAAAAATGTACTCACCAAATGAATTACAACTTCTCTATCCCTTTTCCTTTTTACAATAATTACATCACCACAATTTCAATCTCTTTTCCTTTTTCATTACCGACAGCCGGAACATTAAACCAGTTTAACTTAACATTACATATACATACGTAACATTTACTTTAATTCCTCGTAATATTATCGGGATAACCTCTTTATTCAATTTCTCGCTTTCACATAAATATTTTTATCACCTCTCTAAGATGAGCCCCTCTCCTATTTGATCCCTTTAACCTCCCATTCCCACGTACGATACATTACCCAAATCTTCATTTATCACATAACTACATTTTATATCGACTCGGAGACGAGTCTAATCCTTCGGGATGAACCTTCATTTTATTTTTATATATATTTTCATATTTGTATTTGGCATCTACGCTACCTCAGGCCTATTCCCGGGGTCATATATGATCGTTGTGGCGCATAACTGTGCTGCCCATTTCCAACTGAACCAAATTCAACTTTGAACCTCTGTTTTCCCCAACAATGACCTTGGCCCATTTCTTGCCCCTCCTATCAAACAGACGAGTCCATACTTTTTCTCCAACTCCGATCCTAATTTTTCGGTCTTCCAGAATTCCCCTCTCGTGACTCTCGGCCCTTAGAAAATCTAGGGGAACCCTAGTCCTCCTGCCAAAAAAAAATTCGGTAGGTGTCATTCCCTCCTTATTCCTGGAATTAAGGTAATACAATTGGGCCAAATACGCCCCATCCCTGTGATTGCCGGCTTTCCTTATCCAATTCTTAACAATTGCTACCATCCTCTCAGCTTGTCCATTCGGGCTGGGATGATATGGTGGAGCAAGAACGTGTTTTGTCTGTGACTCAACACAAAACTGTTTAAAAAAACCAGGGCCTTCTCAATGTCCCCGACCCTGTCCTCCTTCAACTC